CGAATATCTCACGGCGCTTCGCGCTTGGTGATGTGAGAGCCTGGTCCGGTGAGAACCCGGCGTGCTCCGTCCCGGCTTTGTAGGGATGCGAGGTCAATGGTCTAACGACGACGGCATGCACGACTATGAGTACACCCCCCCCCTCTCCCTACAACTACGTGGACAAACAATAACAGTGGTACAATACGTGTCGTCGGCTCAAGGTACGCCTTGAATATCACGCACTATGTGTACAAGTAGTAACACTGGAAAGTTATACGCTCTACATGAAAAACACGCAAACCACGCGCTACCATGTCAATTCGTCCCTCGTCGCTTCGTGCGCGAAGCCCGCCTGTTTGCCCAACCTCGCCTTGCTTTTCAAGCCAGCGACGAATCCTCCCGTTCTTCGGGGGTTGGCTGGCGGGAGCGGCCTTGCCGGGGTTGTGGGCTTTGGTTTTCGCCTGGCGGTATTTGCGGGTTGATTAAGTTGGTTATTGTTCGTGAATAGTTGTCGTGAAGCACGTGGCGGGGAAGGAAATGGTGGCGTATGACGGCCTCGTTGTTGTTGAAGTCGCTCGCCCTGAGCTGACCACACACGAAGCTAGATAGAAAACATGCACCAAGCGAGCGAATCGAGCGGCCACATGATGATAAATACGTGTAGTCATGAATCTCGAGGGGACGAGTAGAGCCTCTTTGCTCAACCGTGGCTCACGAACAATAGTGAACTTGATCGCCCCGATAAAAACCGCCAGGCAAGAAGCAACGATGACCATCCCAGCACGACTGCCGATACTTGTCACCGCATGAAGATCGGGAGGATTCGAAAGAGGCTTGGCAAAAGTGTGGCGCAACCATACTCTGCTAAGCCACCTTCGAAGCCTCCCGATCTTCAGCGGTGGCTGGTGTCGGCGAGACCTTGCGGGGATGGTTGTCGTTGCATATGACCTGGTGTTTGTTTGGAAGGGGTTGATTAAGTTTGCTGCTGTTCGTGAGTGGTGGTCATGAAACAGGTGGCGGGGAAGGAAATGGTGGCGTATGACGGCGTAGAGTCGTTCACCTTGGCTGACGACACAGAAAGCTACATGAAACACACGCACTACGCGAGGGAATTTGTGGAGCCGCAAGGTATCAGGGTGTTACATAATGAAATCCGAGTGGTGCATGTCCAAAAAACGTCCTGCCCGATGGGGTGTAAGGATGCCTGGCCATTTTCAGCAGAAAATACTTCGTGTCCTTGTGTACCGAAAAACTGCGTTCTTTAAAGCAAGGATCACCTTCAGTCATCCAGAGGACACACTCCAAAGCTCGTACGACCGCAACAACACTGCACCACTCTTTGCCAGGACCACCGGCAACCCCACCTGTTCACCATGTCCCTCAGAGAGGGTCGATGGAAGCCGTTGTAGCGCTTCCACCGATGCTGTGCCCCCCACGGAAAGAGCATTGGAGCTCCGACCCCCTCTCTTTCGCCAGGCGTCATGAAACACCTGCGGAAGGTCGTCAGCGTGCACACCAGCTTCCTCCGAGGGCCACCACGCCGAGGACTGGCGAGCGGCAGTGGTGCCATCCCGGGGGGGCACGTGGCTTGTGCCCCAAATCGCTCCTCTGCCCCATGCGTCATGCAACGCAGCGGTCGACATGTCGACGCAGTCAGGGGATTCTTCAACTTCGCCGTGACCCCCACTATATGCCTCACTACAGGTGGTGTTGGTGGTACGTCGGTGCCAGAGCACCTGCTTGAACGGTACGGCACGATCTGGCATACCGACACCCAGCGGACACACGGCTTCCTCCAACACGAGGACTTCGTCTCAAAATTTTGGGCCCGGTGTCACGCCATTTTGGATCTCTACACCATCGGCGGCTCGAGCAGGCAGCAAGCCCTCAACGTTCAAGCCGGAGGCTTCTCTCGCCTCTGGCTTGGGCGTTGTGGGCTGGCCGGATGTTCGTGGCGCCGATGGCGTAGAGAGTGAACAATGCGTGGCACTGGGCCCTAGCTTTGAACAGAAAGTCGTCGTGTTGGAGGACGCCGTGTGTCCACTGGATGCCGGTGCGCCAGATCGTGCCGTACCGTTCAAGCAGGTGCTCTGGCACCGACGTACCACCAACACCACCTGTAGTGAAGCATGTAGTGGGGGTCACGGCGAAGTTGAAGGGTGGGAGAGTAGTTACTGAAGAGCAATATCTCCCCGGATAAGACTCACTGCTAACGCTGTGAGTATTCTACCGCAGCCTAGCATCAAGTAAAACAACAGCGAGGATTCGGCCGAGAGAGAGATGAAAACGACTGCATGGGTGGAGCCCCATTCTGAGAAATTTATAATGACACTACAGAACAAACACGAAAAATCCGCAACAACAATAGACTGCTGCAGGCCATGAGGACATTCCCACCGCTGCCGCTGCAGACGAGGGTGCCGCCACAGCCGCCTCTGCTGCTGCTGATTATAACAACTTTGACTAATCATTGCTACAGGCGTGCAGCACCGGACTCTGATGTCTACGACGCAAAACAGGGGGAAGGAGCTTGGAGTGGCGCATCGGCCAAGCACCTTCTCTCCGCTTTTTCGAGTCGACGACATCGGGGAGTCAAATGATACTGGACTCCAAAATTGTAGTGAAGTTTTTTTTCTTACGGCCGTTTTAAACGGACCGACTTTTTTGTCAAAATTTTCGACATTTGTCTTTCAAAAACTTGGAACCTGTGTGCAGTCATTTTAAACGTGTGACGTGGACTTGTGCAACTTGTGTCAAAAAAATGACGCCGTCCGTGAGTTGTAGCGCTCACTTCGAGACAACACAGACGACACAACACAAACCGCGGAAAACACGACATCATGGACACCGACATGGATATCACGACCACCCAGCGTGGCCGGCAGACCAAAACCCCGGCGAAATTCCAGCAGACGGGCTCTCTCGGTGCCGCCGTAGGCGGTGGAGGCTTGCTCTCCAGCAAGATAGTGCTGCTGCCTGGCATCTCGGGGAACACTCATGTTACCACGGGAGGCGCTGCCGCCACCAACACTCAGAGCGAGGGTGGAACAGGCCGCCGGCGAGAGGTGGCAACCACTGCTCCTACCCCCCCGGGAAAAGGAAAAAACAAAGCGGCGGACGCGAAGCAACAACTGCAAGCCATCATGGCGGACCGCCGTTTTTCGGACGACACAGCAACAACAGCAGACAGCATCGTCAACGTTGGCAACAGCGATGATAGCAATAGCGACAGCGACAGATGACTCACACACAACCCTAGCTGACTTTCTACGGTGAGGGGCACTCGTGGTGCAGACGCAGCAGCCCTCGCGTGCCTCTGCAAGGGTACTTTGGAAAGTGCTCCAAATACTTTGAGAGGATTGTCAAAAAGTTGGAACGAAGTGGAGCAAAGTTTTCGCGCCCAACTTCGTTCCAGATATTTTTGAAAAAAATGGACAAACGCCTACATACAGGTTCCATTTTTTTGACACGTTCAAAAGTTTTGACAAAAAGTCGGTCAGTTTAAAACGGCCCTTAGTAGTGGCAGCCAGCAGCAGCACAGGCGGCCGCGGCACCTTCATGGGCAGCAGCATCGGTGTGGGGGCGTGCTTATCGCCTGCACAGCGGCCACCGACCTTGGTTCTTTTAAGAGGACGGTTACAATACCAAGTCCTGTAGTTGGGTGGTGCGAAATGGCCTTCCTTACCATTTCCACTGCTTCATCCTGCTGGATCAGTTGGTGGTGGTGGGGATCGTTGTGGTGGTCGTCGTTGCTCTGCGGCTTCGCCCCCTCCCTCGCCACGGGACCAACTTCTTCTTCATCGGGCACCGGCACACCCTTCCGAGCAGCAGAGCAGACGAAACGTAGTCTAGAATGTGGGTCAAGGGGGTAAAGATCTCACTGCCATCAAACACACGCACGTAAACGCATGTACATCGCGACGGAACAAAAAGGCCAATCCCTCGTTGGGCAGGAGCGACAGGGACTTACTGTATGTCGTACTGCAAAAGTAGCTGTGATGACTACTGGAGCGCATGTGACTGGGACATCAAAGGAAATGCTCGATGCCAGTGATCCTGCTCATTCATCGGGGATTGTACCATGATTTGTGTTAAAACAATCTACTGTAGACTATGGTGTAGACTATTGTACGTACAGTAGTCAACATGGGTTACCATTTCAAAATCCAGCACTCCTACTCGGTAATGGCCTGCTCTTTGTAAGAAAATCCCACCGTCACCCCACATGATGCACCTACAGCAGCACAGGAAGTGGATATCGTGCGTTCTCAGCTTGCAACCAGATAACTCTTCCCGAACCAACCCCCGCGTCATCTAGCTGCGTGTGTGTCCTATAAGCACGTTTTCTTGGGCATGCCTGTGTGTCCGCGAACTATGATAACAACATACGAGTCACAGACACACACATTAGTGCGGTGTCGATGCTGACAACAAAGACACTGCTCACCTCCCCATCCCCCCCTTTCCCCAAGATGTGGAACGGAGAGTCCACCCTGCGTGTAACTCTCTCGGGGTCCAGCGTCGAAGGAACCCGCGGGATGCGCACCTTCTCCTCGATGGCGACCGCGCCGCTGCTGCGCCCAACGCCAGCCCCCTCAACGGTCTTGCCTGAGGGTGCTGCGGTGGTCTTGCCGACCTCGCCCCTCTGTTTCCTGCCCAACATTGAGTTGGTGTTGAACGTGTGTTGCACCGAAGAACGGTAGATGAAGGAGTTCGCGATCGGGCAGCACGCGATAAGGGCCCAAGCGGCCAACATCATGATGCGCTTGATCATCATCATCATCTCTATCCCTTCTTCGCCGATCCTGCGCTCGCTGTGGCCGTGACAACAGGTTGTTGTCAAAGTCAGCGCGCGCAGAGGTTCGTTATGTCCGTGTGAGCCGCTCTCAGCAGGCAGGGAGAGGCGTGAATCGTACACTGTTTTTTTTACACACACCCCGCCCTCGCTCATGTAAAAAGAGTCAAGATCGCGGCTCCGGGAGGGGGGGTCCGCGCGGCGTTGTTTCGTCTTTTGGCGATCTACGCGGCGTTTTTTGGTCTGCACAGCAGTTCCGTTATTTTTTGAGGTTTTGTTCCATGTCGCTCGGTTCGACGAGAGAGAATAGAAAGCGAAGTTTTACAACAAAAATAGTTGCATCGGTCTCCTCGCTATGTGCTATCTATGACGCTCACGATTCAACACGTGTATCTGGAATGAGTGGAACACATGCACGGCGCGGTGGTGTACGGGCTCTCTCTGGGGCTGGGTGTGCTGCTTTCCTTCCAAGCATAGTCGAGCGGACGTGCGTTGATTTCGCTGTGAACAACAGGAGGTGAATTCGCTATCTGAGTACGTGTATGATGATGAGTAGTATAGTTTTTTTTTTTAAATCAACACTACTCAACCTCCTGAGCATCGATGAGTTTTTTTGAAATACTTACTGAACAATCCGAGGACGGGTGAGCATATTTGCAATACTCAAAAGCTTTTGTCGAAGTTGAATATTTTTGAAATACTTACTGAAGGATATACTCAATCAAGGTTGAGCAAAAACTCCTTCACTATTATAGTCTAGACTACTGCATGCAGGATACACACTCTCCTCTCTCTCCGCGACGTCTGTCTGTGAAGTTTCCACTTTGTTCGCACGTGCGTCCAGAAACCAAATCTATTCAACTGGTGTCGTATCCAAGTTAGAACTTACACAGTGTGGACAAGTCTGTGTATTGAAGAGAAGGCAGCATTATTTTGGGCCGGGGGGTGGTAAGACTTCTGGTCTCAAGTACTCATGTAGTACCACACACTTTGGGAGCGAAGGCTTGCCCCGCTCCCACTGGCGAGGAGGCACGAGCCCGAGACGAAACGTCCCATGATATACGGTGGTCGGTGTGCGTACTGGTTGGTGTCGAACATGCACGCATGTGTCGTCTGTACTACTACTGTATTCACACGCAGGGAATTCGAACAATTTCAAACACAGCTGTCATGTAGGAAGTTCCCAGCACAGATATCTACAGCGTATGCACAGCATTATTATACACTTCGTATCGACATAATAATGGTGCTCTGTAGACGGCAACATCGACGGCGCAACGTCTGAACCAAGGGCCGTTTTCTTCCACTTTCGGAGCCCAAGCAGTCTTATCACGAAGTAAGCTCCAGCCTCTGTCTTGTTGTTGCCCAGACCGCCGGCGACCGCTCGTCCTGCTGAGCACCGCAGCCAGCAGCTCGCAGGTATCGACATGCCGATAAAAAGATCCCATCCCCTCCATACCTGCTTCTCTCAGCTGCGTGGTCTCTCCGGGTTGGGCGCCGAGACGGACCATCCTGCATCGAACGATCGCTACCATGGGGAAGGGCAGAGATCGTGGAGACTCTAAAAAAGGGCGAGGCGGGCGAGGATCCCATTCAGGTCCATTGCAAGGCAACGTTGGCAAGAATGGTGTTGGAGGTAAGCGCGAGTTTGCCCCAAGCACAGCAGCGCGCCGTATGCATATGTGTAGACCTGGGCAAGCAAGTTGCGGGACGTGTTGCAAGTGTAATAATGACAAGCACAGACAAACAGGCGAGCAGGGGAGTGTGTGGGTACGCCATTCGAGCACCCATTGCACCTGCTTCGATGGACTTGGATGGTTTTGTCACACCCTTTTGCTGTCAAAACAGGCCTGGTGTTGTTGGTTGTTGGAGTTTGGAATGACGAGACTGTCATCTTTTGGCGAATAGGATTGCAGCAACAGCGGGGGTGGGTACTGTAATTCCCCCGACCAAGAACGGCGGCTCGTTTCGGAGGCATGCCTGACTCGATACTCGATACGTCTTCCTGAAAGACGATCGATGGTAGTCACAAGTCGGAACGAGCCGTAGCAGGGTGCAGGTCGCGTATGATTATTTTGTCAGGATCGACGCATCGACGGCACTCGAATAGATATCCCGCTGACCCATAATGAACGGTCGATATTCTTAACCCTTTTCAGTCTCCAGGCGTTCTGACTGACCATTGATTGATCATTTGCAAATGCTGGTGTAGTGGCAAGTCGTGGAGTTGCCGCCCTGCAGCCCTTCGCGCCGTGTATTGGCACGTCCATAGGTAGGTGTGTCTAGATTACTAGCACCTGCTCTAACCGGGTGACCAATGAAGAGACGTCAGTGACAGCGGGTAAATCAGGGTCTCGGGAATGGGGGCAATCAATGCCAATTCATTAATCTCTCAACGTATGCACATGAATGCGTGTGTGCATACATACAAACATACATATGTGTTCTTTCGCAGCACCACACGTACACTCGCCCGAACGTAGGAAGCCACTGCTGCAAAGAGCAGAGGGCAGAAAAGGGAGGGGTAGTATTGCAAGCCCTGCCGAAGCCCAGATATCGAGGCTATCATGTGGTATGCTGCATCTCCCAACAATTTGCAAATCGTTCCCAACATCCAGCAGTCACTGTGTCAGCATCTACAACAACACTACTGTGCTGTAGACGAATAAGACAAATCAGCGACACATCGACACTCGTAGCGCCAAACATACCCTCGCCCAAACCTAGGAAACCACGAGAGGTACAGGTGTGTGCTGGTGGATGTGCTTGTTTGAAAAACGCAGGAGCTGGCAGGGCACCTTTCGGGGGGGAACAGAGAACAGAGAAGTACAGAAGTACAAATACCAGCTATGGGTCTTCACTTATCATTTTACCCTCTCTAGACTGATCATTTACAATACACCGAAAATAGACTAGTTGAGGCAGCTAGACGACTGATCATTTCAAAGTCTACACAGCTAACCTGCCCTACTGACCGCAGTGCAACCACCCATCAACCCTTCTACGACCCTGCNCAGAGAACAGAGAAGTACAGAAGTACAAATACCAGCTATGGGTCTTCACTTATCATTTTACCCTCTCTAGACTGATCATTTACAATACACCGAAAATAGACTAGTTGAGGCAGCTAGACGACTGATCATTTCAAAGTCTACACAGCTAACCTGCCCTACTGACCGCAGTGCAACCACCCATCAACCCTTCTACGACCCTGCCTGTGGCCACCACCCTGTCGCCGGCTTCCCTCATGGCCTACAGGTGGAGATCGCTGTTGCGTGTGCAGAAGTACACTGGGGTCTTTCTCTGCACTTGCCTCTCTCCCGCTCGCTCTCGCTCTCATTTGTTTTTTGCGCAAAAATGAAAACTGAGAGTCCAGCCTAGACCCAAAAGAGTTAAGAGGCATATCATATGAACGCAATCATGTGTTCTGGATAGCGCCCCCCCCAGCTCGTCTGTGTTTTTTGTCATCCCATCTGGTCGGAATGTGTTTCCCCCCACATTGTTACTCCCCTGGCGCATGTTGCTACACACCAGCCTCGGGTCGCACTTCCAGAATGACCACCTACCACACAAAAGATGATTGCTGTGTTTCCACCACCCAGCTGGGGTCATGATTGCCAAGAAGCTGTAACGGCAGATGCGTCTGAAAGAGCGGGACAATAATGGTCTCCCAACGGCAGGATCCACATTTCCTTAACGGCCCCAAACGCTTTCGTTGCATTACGTGCCGGTACGAATCCCACCGCGCAACCGCAGACGCACAAGACGATCCATACGCAAACATAGAGAATGGATGATCTTTGTCGTTATGCCTATCTTCTCCGGCAAAGTTTTCGTCCAAGACTAAAATACCCCGTGTGTGAGTGAGCCACGTGAAGGAAACAAATTTTCGAACGACTGCACTCCCCAGTTGCGGATCAGTTGCAGACTTTTTGTAAGAGAGCACCGATATGTATCTCGCAGCCTCAGAATGCTGGCAGTCTGGAATGGTCTTGTCACGTTTCGAGAACGCATTGCTCGAGATGTAAGGGATGGTCTTTGTTAGGTGGTCAAGTGTGAGTTTGTTTTCAAGAAGTGTTGCCAATGCTACCACCGCAGTCTTCACTGAGGCGGGGGGGGGCACGTTTCGAACCGCCTGTAAATATGATCAGAGTCGTCGTTTAATATACGAACTCCATGAGAAGGAGACTTGTGTGTGTACTTGGCATGTGCTCAGTAACGAGGTCTACCGCGCCCACTGGCAGGGGAGTTGCTGCAAGAACGACTCCACAGAGATAGCCATCTTGTCCTTGGTTACGAGACGCTAGTGTTGTCTGCGGATGTTGTATGTACGACGGTGTGGACTGCAGATATAAAGGAACAAGTGTGAGAAAGACTGTCGTTTCCCACAAAGGATATCCTGGCGTGTGCCGCACTCTGCTGTTCGTACGGCGCTTGTTTCTTGCAAAATGAAATTGCCCCGATGCACACACGGAACTCAAAAGACACCACTGCCAGTAGAAAACTGTCCTCGCTGTCGCTTCCCACAAGGGTTATCCGGACGCGTGCGACATACATGCTGTCGGCTTCAGTGGGGAGAATTACATGTGCTCCAGTCTGTTGTTCATACAGTTTTAGTTTCGCTACAAGTAAGTTCAGCTGTGCACACGCATAGGACACCACTAGCGGCAGAAACCCGCATATCGTGAGAAGCTCCTCCCACATCCCTGCTGCCGCTTTCACCCGGTGGCGGCGTTGGGTGCAGCTCTGGATGGGGAGTCGCTGACGGCGGGCCAGGTGGGGCTGGACGTGCACGCCGTAGCGGAATCTACCCGCATCTCGCTGGAAAAGCAGCTGCACGCTTTCAGGGATGATGAGGTGTGCGACCATTGTGTAACGTTCCCCCCCCCCGAACAGACGGATCACATGCCACTTGGCCAGGCGGGAATGGTAAGCGTGCGTCACGCTGGTGACGTGCTCGTTCCCTGTCGGATGTTGCGCTGAACTCG